AATTCTCTCAGCCACTCAGGAGACGGTCGCATCGATTTGAACGAAAGTGGAGCTCGGTGATGGAAAGTCCCCGGGAGTCCAGAAGCAGAACGCAGCGATCGAAGTCTCGCGGAAATACTCCGTTGGAGAGCTCCTTGACTTCTCGGTTTCGTGCTGTTTCGATGCTATTCAGGTCTGACGTCTTTTTCGATCCCGAGCCGACGCTCGAGGACGAAACTTAGATCAGACATCAGACAAGCGGTTTGTAGAAAGCAAGGGAAGCTCTTCTGCTGGAGGAGAACAACCTGGGGGGCGAGCGTGATTCAGGAGGGGTAAGCTCGAGGACACTAGTCTTATCGGAGGCTTATTCGGTAGGATGGCCAATGGCATAGATTCGGCTAGACGGATCGTCAGAATCTAGCGAGAATTGGGGCTAAGGCAATCGATGAGGATGCGACTCAGGCTGATTTGAATTCCAGATTTTCGACATCTCCTCCGTTTGTGCGTATATTGTGTGCAAAGGTGAAACCATCTCTGAAGTTAATGACGCGATGAAAGAATTCAGCGAGCTCCGGCGCCTGCCTTCGCAAATTTGTGCCCTTGATACCGATTATAAAAAGGAGCTCGTTCCCTGCACTGACCAGAAGAGTTCATAATCACTGATAAATTAGTTTGCTCTTTGAATTTGAGCGTCCCGCTTCTTCCAGAAGATTTATTCGTGATACCCTCCTGATGACCTCCCTGATTAGAAACACCATGGAATCAACCAGAGGTTGAAGTCCCACCATCCTCGCGATCGCGAAGCTCTGGGGCTGCGCCGGGCTCAAGAGACAGAAAGGACACGGTCTCGGGCTTTGAGTTTCGGGTCTTGGGCCTTGAGTTTCGAGTCTCGAGCCCTTCCGCTCTCATGAGGTATTTCTCGAAAAGAGAACAATCGACGCTGGAATTGAGAGCCCACATGGCCTAATTATACAATTATTTCATTAGAGCGCGTTGCGAGACAGCCTTGAGGAGCGTAAAAAAAAAGGGGAACGATACAAAGAGCCTCATGCGGAGCGCCGCGCCGCTCTCACAAAAACTGCTCCAAACAATAATTGGATTAGATCGAGTGAGAAAAATGGCTTTCGCTGCGAAGCCTGAACCTCACGGGTGGCGTGCAGTCGCAGAAGTCGCCAGCCTGAAACCGAGGATAAACGTGACGCGGCTCTTGGCTTTCCGCTCGACAACCATTTGTCTCCTCGAAGTCGATGACATCCTTGTTCTGTGTACGGCTTGTTGGACGATGCCATGGCCTGGGCTAACTTGCCCTACCTACCTAGTTGTCTGGATGCTTGCTTCCTCGCTCGCTCGCTTTCACTTGATCTCTATTAGCATGTCTGCGGCGACGGTGAAGAGACGTGCCGAGATAGTCACGCATTTCGCCTCGTTGCCCGTGCGACGCAGCGACCGATACCTGCGCCGAGTGGTGCTGGTGCGAAAGAATTGATAGCGGCGGCGGCGGCGGCGTCCTCGTCGACCTGCACCCCGTACCTGAAACTTTGATGCATTCGTTCCGAACACTTTCAAATCGTTTGATGGAGGTCACGGAAGCTGTGCCAGGGAGTTTTGTTCTCTCGATGCCGGGAGAGCAAACGATTTGTCATCCTGCTCTCAGACTGATTCACGCGAATTGGTGGTGCGTGAATGTTATTCGCTGTTACATAGTTGAATCTCAGCGTGCCCGACAGCGAAAACACGAGTCCGGACCGACATTGAAGACTACGCACGAACAAAGGGAGCGAACTCGCAAGCCAAAGAAGAAGAAAAACAAGCAGCCTAACGTCGTTCCGTTTATCTGATCGCCGAGGAAGTTGGCGGTTGTGGAAAGGCCCACCAACAAAGAATCGTCCGGCTGACCGAGAACTTCATTACGACCCCCTCATTTCTCCCATTTGTCGCTTCCATCTGTTCCCTACGCTCCTTCCCACAGCGCGAGAAAACTCACAGACGAGCCCTCATGGACCGATCACTACGTCAGCCGTTCCTATCTATTCGGGCGATGACGGACGAACCGACGGACGGACGACGGGCGGGCAGTGGCTTCCTTTGAGGTTTGGCGCCTTCGCGTCGGCAGCACAACCGCGATGATATAATATCTGGTTTTCTTTGTGATCTTCTTTGGTTTCCTTCCTAATAATGACTGATTCGCAGAGTGATCTCACTTTCAGGCGCGCGAGATCCGCCGTTGGATGCCGGTTCATTCTCCTATCACGCCTCTGCGAGGCAAAGACTGCAGGAACACAATCGAACCAATAATGATTGGGCCTTCGACTCGGAGTCGAAGGAACGGGAGGCGATCAGGAGAACGAGGGGACCCAAAGAAAAATCTAATGATTTGAAAATCAATGTCTCTGATTTTTGGGTTTATTAAGATTTCCCAGACTCGCTGCGAAAAATACCACCGCTTGGCGAATAACAATCCTACCGAATGCTCTCCGAGTAGAACAAACGGAATTGAGCGAAGAACTTATTTACAGTTGGAACCAGCTGCTTGTCAACTGCAGGGATCAGCTGCCGCAACGCTCAGAAGATGATGCCAATGAGCTAATGGCCAAGTTAGAGGATGGTCGGCTGTTTGCTGCTCCCCCGCTCGCCGCTCAGAGAGCGCCGACTCCGGAGAAAGTCAATAATTTTTTGTGGCTTTATCGACGATGGAGCGTTTTCCGCGGGAAATCTTGCGGTCACGGGATCTTATGAACTCAGATATCTCCTGCCCGTCGAGGATTGGGAAGTAGTTTCTAGGAACGGTAAGTAATTGGCTCCGGTCGCTGAGCGTGAGTAGAGTTTCCTTGGGAACTGTATCATATTTTACATTTCACGCTGTGCCTCGAAGAATAAACGGCTGTACAACGCAGCTCCGGAGTAGGAGTGTGAGAATTGAGGCGAGACTTTCTCCGGCGTCGTTCGCTGATGTGCTCTCCTGTGGCCCTTCCGTTATCTCCAATGTTCCTCGTCTTCCCCAAGAACAGATGTATTTCTTCGTCCGGTGCTGACGACTGGTGATTTGGTGATGCCCACTCCGCGCCGATCTAATATTTACAAATTGTACGAAAGAAAATATGCCTGCATCCGACGGTGTTCCCCGAGCCAGCTAGCGCTTCTCGGCGCTGTTTATCGAAGGTGAACTCTTATATCGGTTCCGGGGGAATCGCAGGCTTCTGAAAATGCAAAAATCGAGGGAGTTTATTCGATTTGATTTTCATCAAGGACGAGGCAGTCGGAACAAGCTCTGAAACCAGAGGGAAAAATCCTTCCAGCGTCGAGCCGCATAACCGAGAGTGGCTCGGACGAGAACTGGCTGCCTGTACCGCCCCACTTGAAATCTGAAACTCGACTCCGTGTAAACGAATCTTCTCTCGGATCCTGAGTAGATCATGCCGAGTGGAATCAGATTGTTCGTCGTTGTTTCGAGTTTCCGATCCGCTTGCTTGCTCGCTCGCTCAGTCATATGTTGATGTGTTGAGCTCCTGCTGCTTCGCGCAGGCAGCTCTCTATTGATTCGTCTTCAACGAGAATCTGAAGTCGTTTATCCGCCAAGCTTCCGATATTGAATTATTCAGGCACCGTTAGAGACTTCGGTATCTAGCACCCTCTGCTGCTCGATAGACTCACAGTTTTGGGCAGTTGAGAGCAGAGCTCGAAAACGTTCGAATACGTTGGGCTTTGAACGTGATGGAACGCTCTTCTCGAGATTGTTTTAGATGGGGACTAGCGACTCTAAACCCGGCGGGCGATCGATCACGGTGACCGTGGAGCGCCACCAAATATTTCAGCTCAAATGGATTTGCCTCCCGTGGCCTAATTACGTATTCCAATTTTAGTTTTCCTCGAGGGTCATCTCCATTTCTCAAACGAGGGTCGATCTCTCGGCTCGCGAGATGAACGCAAAAGTGAACTAAAGATATTGGATAACGAGAATTTTTCGCACAAGACAACAGAAGATAGAATCGCGTCGTTCGTATCATAAATTACCGGCCTTCTCTGGGCCTTGACCAGAACGAAAACGAGGTAAAGCAAATACGGAAGGGGGATTGATCCTATTGTGGAGCTCGTTGAGAGCTCCATGATGCGGGATTCGTCGTAGCCTTGAGCTGAGTTGGTGGCGCCTCTTAGCTTAGAGCTCTGGATTAGATGGCTTCATAGCACTAGCTTGGCAGGAAATGCGCAGAACAGAACCGCTAAAATCAGGTGCTGCTGCCTCGGTGTGCGAGCCGCGCTGGGCAGCGGCGCTACCGGGAGGTTTGATTTTCGCAGTGCAATCGATTGTTATTAAATCACAAATATGGACGCAACTTGCCGAGCACCACTGCCCATCACCCAATACAGGCGGCTCGAACCAGGGTTCCTCCCTCTCAAACGAAGGAGAGGAGACATCATCGAGTTGACTACCCGAGCTCGTTGTAGGATTGTACTCAGTAAAGCGTTCTTCACGCAAACTGCGCTCGGATAGTCGTCCGAGAGCGAGCCGCGGAGCTTGGAGAGGACGCACGCTCTTCGTGCCGATAACGTTTGAAAAAAAATCCGGTGGGTACACCGGGAACATTAAGCGCGTATATAGAGTAAGCCGTCCAATTCCTATACCGATTTTGATCCATGGATATCGTGCCAGCAGAAACCGTGCAAACATTAGCATGAAGAATATCGGCCAGGCCCCCCGGCCCGATGAGGGACATCGAGGTATTTTAGTATCTATTCTCGCTCAGAGTAGCTACTCCTCCGAGCGATATTGATCTCGATTGCGATGGTAGAAAGAGGTAGATGGAGCAGTCTCAGTGTACGGCTGTATTGCGAAGAGCCCCTTCGGTCTTACTCACCGTCGACATGATAAGTGCAGTGTTTAGTCACAACTCGGTCCTGTCGAGATCTGGAGGTTTGTTCGACGTTGGCACTCCACCCGATCCAGCAGTCGAACTCAACAAACTCAACATTTGCTCTTCTCTCCTATCGGGGGGTCTAATGCAGCGCAGGTGGGCGTCTCTGAGTCACCGTAGAAGATACAGAGGTAACAGAAGCATGGACAACAGAAGCTCACGCGACCGAACTACCGCTGCCGGTGAAGTCAACACTGCCACGCTATCGTGCATGGCCGCGGGCGAATCATCTGTAATAAAGCCGAAACGTTCGTTTTGCTTCAGGTGCAGCCACATTTCATTCTGCCAGCTCCTGCTTGTCTTTGTCCATCAATCCGACGTCCTCTCTTCTCTGGCCTGTATCCCATTCCTTCGGGGTCTACGTATAGTTCTTCTGTCAAGATTGCGAGCTGCTGCTACTTCGTCTGCTTCCATCCAATGCTCATACGGCAGTGAGATTTCCTTCCTCTGTCGCCGATCTAGCGACAGCAGAGTTGAACGGGAGAAAGCGACTCGGAAACTTAGGGCGCAGGAACTTTGTTGCCGCAGAGGGGGAACTTCTGATTGACCAGTTCCGGAAGCGAGCATTGTGGCCAGTCTGTGAGCCTCTGCGGAACTCTGAGTCCCTTGACTCAGGAACGTCGATGCTTTGATTCTGTATGCATCGATGATGCGCTTCATTGCGACCCGACGGCCTGAGTAGACGAACTTCTGCGGCCGACACCTCGCTTCTGCAACTTATGACTATCTGATCGGGAGAATCTGAAGGGGATGGGGAACAATCATCGAATGAACACTCACTGCTCAAAACGAACACCTGAATGGTGTCCGGTAACGTGTTTGATGGTTGGCAGCTGTAGCTCCCCGAGTCCGCCGAGGTAACTCCTGAGATCACCAAGAGGCTCTCTAGCTTCGCGATTTCTCGCTGTGATTTCGTGGCTGACGACAGCGACGGCGGGCCGTGCGTCGGCGCAGCAGGCGCTTCTGCCCTCGGCGAAACGTTGTGTGTACGATTCTTCGGGTTTATGTCTGTCGATAGGATCCTGCTGCTACTGTTCCCGAAAAGGTCGGTCGTATGTATCGATACGACCATCCGATGCTTCATATCTTCATCGTAGTTCACCACTTTTCCGTTCCGGTACCAATATACGTATTCCGTTCCCGAGGGGAAACCGTTGATCTGGCACAAGAGCCGGAGCACACCCCCTCCGTTGACGTAGAGCGTGGGACCACCGACTATTTGCGCTTTGCTCACTGAAAATGAAAGTTCACGCTTCAGACCGAGCTCTTCCCCTCACTCCAATATCCTGAGGTGCACGGAGCCGGGCGACCTCGCCCGACCGGTCATTGCGGCCGCGACGCCACGCTGGTTTCCGTTTCCAGAGGGAACCGCACTCCAGGAGTCAATTATTTCCCTATTATGACACCAGTAGCAAATACCCGATTCGGGCCGAGCTTCGTCAGTCGCGACCTCAGTTCCGTATTCGCTTTGTGTGACTCGAGACCCACGTTACCTACGTACCCATCATAAGATCGCATCAACACTTTTCAGATAGGGTCGTTCGATCCGGCGAGCGGACATTCCGCCACATACTTACCGACAATATCGAGACGAACAAAGCGGCTTATTTTCGGCGTCGTGCTGACCTGGCATTCGTAGACGCCGCTATCATTGACCGTGGGATACTTTATTTGCAGGGCCCACGACTCGGAGTTCTCGTAGTGGACCGCCTGGAAACGTTGATCCATGGTGTAGGTGAAGCGACCGACTGTCAGAACGTTCAAGCCGCTGTCGACGGTTCTTCGGATCCAGGACACCTGGAATCAATCGACGTCTCGTTGAAGTTTGTGGATGCCTGCAAACCGCCGTGCCGAGTCGCACCACGAACAAAGCAGTAGCCATATTTCAGAATGAGAGACTAGCTCTACCTTGTTAGATATTTAGCAGGCAAGCGACAACGTCCTGCATCACCGAATCGGAGGAATACCTGATATTGGAAGCAGGGAGCAAGCTATCTGGCTCGCTACGACGCAGCCCAGTAAAATCGGGCCTAGTGGAATCCGACCCGCTATATCCGACGTGACGTCGCCGTCGTCGCAATGCGATGCAGGGGCATTAATCACTGATCGGATCGTCTCTCATCCCATCAAACGCGTTACCGACACTGCGACCAATTCGACCGATCTTAATCCAATAAGAAAGCTCCGGATAGACCTCACCACAGGAACGTCGAAGCAACCGAGGCCGCTACCGAGTTGTAGTGGCACTCCCGGTCCATTTGGCCAATAAGGCGACCGGCCGCGGACTGGGTCGGGTGACGTCTTGTCGGCTCGAGCTCTTCTCTCCTCTTTCAATGATGATGCTTCCGAATCCTCTCGCTAATCCGATAATCGAGAAAATAACTATTGACAAGTGAAGAGCGCTATTGCTGAGAGCGGATTTCACTTGCGCCGCTGAGAGCAACGACGATCCGTTTTATTCTCAGCCGGGCCGTCGCCGATGAGCCGACGCGATGCCCGATAAATCTCAGGGGATAGGAGAAGTACTCTCCCTTCGCTCCGATATCGTTCTGCTCGACACTGTCCCAGAATAGTACCATTCATCATGGAGCTAATTCGCTTCCTCTGTCTTCTCGGGAGGAGAATCCAACCCCGGCGGGGCAATATCCTCGGGGAAAACGATTCTGGAGGATATTTCTGGAAAAATCTTCCAAGAGTTCAGGATCGAATCGTGCTGAGAGTCTGGGACGCGACGTCGTCCTACGCTCTGAAACCCATCGAGATTCTTGAAATAAAATGCCTACCACTCCTCGCGAATCGAGATGGTCACCCTCTTAGAGAAATGCCCACTTCAAACACGTAACAAAGGACGAGGGTCGATGAGTCAATTGGATACTTCACCGCGACCCTTCATTCCGGCACAATCGTTGGACTTCCGATCGGATCGTTCACGGAAGTCCATAGACATCCGCGGAAATTCTGAGATCGGGGGCTCTGAGGAATCTTTCAGGTGGGATACTGGAGAGGGCAACGCTCAGACACCATGTCGTGAGCAGAACATATCGCAAGCGACTCGCTATTGCCCCGCGGAGCAATAGCCGAGTCGGAGATCATTAGGAAATTCGCTAACACCATATGGTAGGTCACGTCTCGAGCGTACAGGTTGTCCGCTTGGTCAGCTCCACTATGGTGTGCCACTTCAGATGGCTCCACTGCTGGCCGCAACGGGTCAGACGATCCGGGACGATCGGCCGAGAGTCCGAATCCACCGAGTCCGTAAATAGCGGGACGAGCCGGCTCATCCGCGATGAGAAAAAAAATTCACGGTTGGCAGCTAGTGAATTAACGCAATATTCACTCACCGTTCGGTCTCCCAGGTGACGCACGTTGCACGGCAAGAACACCGTCCTCGCCTGTGTGGAAATCACTGCCGTCGGGGTAGAATTGTCGAAATGCGGAGCGATCCTGTTGACCAGCGGCGGCGGAAGATTCTGCATCGGGGGCATCTTGGCTGTCGGGGCGTTTGTTGCCGGCGTTTTTGTACGTCGGCTGTGCTGACTTGCCCGCTGCCGATGTTGATAGCCTGCAAAGGGAAAAACACCTCGTAAACAATGTGGAACCAGCAACAAGAGCTCTCTCTATAGATTCCGGCGGTACAGACTGAGCCCCACTCCGAACGACTAAATAAACCGGTAGTTAGCTTCCAACAAGCGGCTGTTTGCGGTCCGAAACTGACAGCAGAGACAAGTTCGCTGTCAGAGCGGTACAACAAACTGCTGTAGCGGAAGAACTCTCGGGGCTGTCGTTGGACCCTTTGCTGATGTCCCTGCAGACTAGCTCTTGACCTACCGAGCCGTGGACAACTAGCGTGCTCAGCTCTAGCGGTACGCAAGCATAAGTGAGCGGCAGAGTAGATGAGTTGTCAGCGAGTTTGCTCCTAATTCACAGGCAGCGTGAATGAATGAATGAATGATTGATTGATAAACGACTGGCTTTCGCTTCTTCGAAAGCTTCGCATTAATTAGGCTCCCCCAGGAGGCGCTGGAAAAAGCAGATAAACAGAGAGGCTTCGCAACTAAGTACCCAATCCATGGATCCCGCTCCGCCTCTCCTCCATGTCTCTCCGATAGGGGAGAAGCGTAACCAGCAGCCGCAGCGAGCGAGCAAGCAAGCAAAAAATTCGTGGAACTCGGGGATAATGCTCGAGGATGCGAAAAACTGAGATAATGCTTCGAGAGGGGTTCTTCACCGTGAATGCAGTGCTTTCGAAGAGAACGAAAACTCGCGAGTCTCCACCGAAAACGGAGTGATCACTGAGATCCTGATCATCAGAGCATTGGGAGAGAGAGAGGAATTCAGACCCGTTTTGTTCCGGGGTCTCTATGACGTTTCCACGCGCTAGATTCCGGTCCGCGATGAAGTAATCCTCGTGGTACATTCGTCGCTCGCAACTTCGTAATTATCGTTCGCCGAACTAACAGTGCCTCTAATCGTTGTCCCTCTGCTCATCGTTGGACCTTGATGAGCTAGCTGAATGAGCTGCTGAGATCGTACGCAGACATTCATACTGGGGATAGCGGAATACAGATCGTTGTTTTCATTCGAGGGCTCTAACTGAGTGAGTGAGGCTCAAATCGAGGCGGTCGTCGCGCCGAGCTCGGATGTTCTCCTACGAGCGATGTGTCTCATCGGAAGATCCATTCATCATTCGCTACAAACGTTTTGTGCACTTTACAGATACGTCCGAGTTTACGGTTCAGCGGAACGCGCGGAGAAACCGGCTCTCGAACATTCGTCACGCGCATATGTTTCGTCCCAGACTTTTCCCATCTCACGCAGAAACATATGGATGCCCGAAAAACGGAAGGCATTCACGCTACTCTAAGACCCGGACTCGGTAGACTCGGTCCAATCTTCGCTCAGGGTCTCAATCGATGACACAACAATTGGATTCTCCCCGGGGGTCAGAGATCAGAGACGGTGAAACACTCAAGAGAATGAGATCAGCAACGCGGACTGGAACCTTCAGGGCACTACCATAGGTATATTGCCAAAGCGACCCGGGTACAAAGCTCGAGCTGATGGGCATTCCGGTCACAGGCCAACAATCAAGCCGTGAGGGAGAATTCGTGCCAGCTATCACAATTATACCCGATACAGTCGAGCGCAAGCGATCCGATGACGCATGACGTCCGAGTAGCTGCTTCTTCCTCCGAGCCGCGACACCCTGATCAGCCGGAGGGTGTAGCATCTCGAGGAAAACTGACACTCTGACCGAAACTTTGCGGACATTTCACTTCGGGAGATCATTCGCTTAGGCCAGTTTGACTTAGCCGCTCTCCTGCCGGAACACGTACCATTTTCTATTCGACGGAACGTTGTGCAACGTACATCCCTCCCCCTTTCCCCTTCCTTACCCTGTGTACCGGATATATCGCGCCGTCGAGTGTCTCGCTCCAGGCCAGTGGGGCGTTCATTCGTCGGCTTTCTTTGATTCAATGTTCCTCAATGGCAAGCGGATGTCTGTCCCCGCGAGTGTTTGCTCCGCGTGCGTGGGGGCGTCCCTCCGGCGACGACTCGTGAATGCACTACAGATTCATTTGTTCAACTCGAAGTCAGCGGGCGGAAGAAACCATTCTCGATTTCGAAGGCCTGACAGCGCTCGGCCGATGCACACGGTCGTTCCGGCGAGCACTGCGAGGAATTTTGACGAGTTCAAGACACACAGATCCGCATTCGGCCCCAAGTCGCAGAGCTCCGGCGTGAACATGCCCTAGGATCGGGGTAGGTTTCGAGAGCCAAGAAAAATCGAGGGAAGGCTCGGAGAGCGAACAGAAGCAGATCGCCTGCCAGACAGGGAATATCTGACAATCAGCAAAATGATAAGAGGATGTTCCAGGCGGTACCGGTGATGGAATGGTTATGCAAATTGTTTGGAATTGGAAACGAGCGATGTCTCGGACGAGGCGGACAGCAGAGACGGCAATACGACGGCTCGGAATTTCCGATGACGCGACCGAGGGTTTTTGCCCGCAAGATGAGAGACGATGTCGCGGGCCTCGGGCGAAAGGAGATAGAAGCTAATGAAAGCGAAAAAAGCATTTGGTGTGTGCGGACGGGCGGGCGTCTGCTATGTGCAGTGATTCAAGATTTCAGGTTTGGCGTCGTTTCCGAGCGTTCAGGAAAAAACTGATTACGCCGAGCGAAGCTTGCTTTGGCAAAAATTCCTGCTGGATATCTGAGAAGTCAATTCGGAGGTCAGGTTGACGCGTGCCTCATTCCTCGGTCGATTACCTAATTCGATCGCGGGAACTCATAGTGCTCTCCTTGACCGCTATCCTTGGCGATCAATGCTCCCCTTCGCACTCGCCTCGACCTTTTCGGGTGTCTGAGGCAAGGACGGATTTCTGAAAAGCCTGCCGCATTTCTGAGGTGGAATCGATCCACGGTATCATCGACCGAGTGAAGCGGACGAGAAGCTCCAATTAGCCACAAACTTCGCTGCTACGGGATCTATTCGGATTTCAATCTCCCAGGAGCTCGCCGAGCCACTTACGTACACTCCTGAGTTCGGACATGGATCAAATATCACGAGAAGGTCATCGTCAAATGGAGCTCACGTGCCCGTGTCATCCTCGAGGACCGGTTGTTGAATTTTGACCTCTCAATTTGTCAACACCACCGTGAGCGTACGGGTGCGTATGGAACCATGCAGTGTTGACAGGTCACTCGACTTTTCAACCTTGGCAATGATTAAAAAAGCACGCGACTCGTGTTCTGCATCAACCGTCGTATCCGTGCCACGTATGCGGGTCTGAATATGGGACTTTTGTTCACTTGATGGCGACAGATTGAGAGCAAACGCTCTGAATCACTCACAACTAACTGGAGCTCATCGACTCACGTAAACAGCCGTACCGTGTCCATCGACTCACGTAAGGAGTCGTACCGTGCTCATTGACTCACACGGGAGGCCGCATTCGAAAACCGAATATCAACATCTGCGGAATTGAATACTCACAGAGTCCTGTTTGTCGACCCTGCTACCGCTCGAACTCCGTCGACTCTCGCGGATATCGCTAATTACGACTGTTACGTCGCAGCGATACGTTCCCCGATCGTTACGCATTCCCGAAAGTTTACAGTCCTTCTCATAGGGACTGGCGCGGTGGGACAGATCGCTCGTTCGTCCGTTTGCGCGCGTCGTGTTCGCTAGGGCGGCGACTCAGTGAGCGTCTGACTCGAGAGCCGCGCATGGATTTGATTCCCTATATACACGTCGTAATGAAATTATTCCTCTGTTCGCTATTGCTGCGGCCATCGGCTGCGAGTTTTAGGCAGGAAGTTATGTATTTCCATAGATCCCCGTAGTAATGCTTTCTGCGTGTAATTCCTACCCTCGTCACGTATCCGACCTCCCTCCCCTCGTTTCGGATCCCTGTACCCCACGGCGCTCGTCATCATGGTCGACGCGGGCGACGGCGCATCGCCGTCGCGAATCGAAGTCGGACAGCTCGTGCCCAGGTCGGGGAGTAGAGGGAGCACGTATTTATTAGGGAGGGACCTTGATCTATTCCGTATCAGGGGCTCCAACTTCGCATCACGACGGAAAGATGCTTAATACGCCCGCCAGTCGAGTGGCAAAAACAGGACGGCGCTCTGCTGTCGGAGACTTCGCTCGCGAGCGGCCTGAGGTGGAGGGAGTCGGTCCGGTGGGAGAGCAGATGGCAAAGTACACAAAAACCGTGTTTCACAAGCTGACAAAAATAAATAGCCGATCGCTGAAGTTTCGCGGCTCAAGAGAATGTAGGAACAGATTGGAGGGGAAGATGTTACTTTTTTCCCTGCCGCCAACGATTATTAAGGAGCTTCCGTGGGTACTTGACTGCCGCGTAAGACGTTTTTCGCCCCAAGCGGGATCGACTCGGGCCACGATCCCGAAGGCTCTAGAACAGATGGGGTAAGTAGCCTCCGAAGAATAATGGCGCGTCCGTCTCCTCGTCGACACCGAACAATGGGTTTAAGGGGAAGGAAGGGGGGGAGGGGTGGGAGCCCCGCAACAGGGCCGCGACCGAACGAGCGAGGGACCGAAATCACCCTGAACTCTTGGTGCCAGGGAGTGGAGACGAGGGTAGTTGACGGGCTGTGAGGCATCAATGGGGACTCGTTTGCCTGAATTTTCGGTGAGAAGAATAGGGTTGTTGGTAGGTAGGTACGGAGCGGGAGAATCGGTCGTCGGTCGTGTAGAGGGGCTCGACCGAGAGAAGATGATGCTGGATTATACCCACAGCCGTAGGAACAGCAGCGGGAGGCGGGTGGTTGCTCGGGCAGACAGGCGGTAGGGCGTACAGCGAAGCACTGCCACGAGCGTGGCGGGTTTCGCGTGACGAGTGCTCTAGGCAACTTCGCGTGGACTTGCGGAGTGCCATTGACGACAAATGGGAATTCTCACGAAGAGAGCATTCGAGGTGAAAAATCGCTTTTTTCACGCGTCTCGCGTTCTCAG